TTACTGGTAATTTGACCATGGTGGTGTTTGGCGGCGGAGCTCCATCCCTGTCTTATTTGATAGTGATACCACCCTCTCACTCAGCACTCGGTTTAATTAAATAAGATTTGTTTAGGCATTATAAATCTGTCTTTCTCTTCTAGTTAACATGTATGGGATCTTTTATCATACTCGTCCACAGATGGCCAAGTAACTCAACCCAGACAGAGGCACCCTATATGCATTATTAGAAATGAGAACACACACACACACACAGATCATGCACCTGTGGATCCCCTCACTTCCTTTATTTAGAGGAAACAAGGTTAGTGTGGACAAATAAAGATTGTTAGCACCTGAAAGATGTAGAACCCCCACACACACACACACACACACCAACATCAGAGGGTTTAATGAAAGTCCCAAAGTAATTTAAAGTCCTGCTTTTTGTTAGAATGTTAAAACATTTCCTTCTCCTCGTATTTTATAAGCAGTGCACCTGATTCAGTGTTAAACATTTAGCATTATTTGCAAGACATGTTCCTCATGATTTCCAAATGTCAAGGTTTCTCTGAAGTGAACATTAATAAGTGAACTCTTCCTCCTCCTTGGGATGCAACCTTAGGCAATGAGCTGTTGGAGTTCAGAAATGTTTAGCATGCCTCTGCCGTCAACGAGGATCCACAAATTAAATGAGTTCTTTACAAATTGAACAGCAAAATATTAGTTTAACAACTCACACAACTCCTGCAGTTTAATGCAATCTATTTTAAATACTTCTGGTACCGAGCATCATGCAAAAATGTTCTGAATAGTAAGGTTTTAAGCAAAATGCATCTGTTATGAAAGGAGTGAGCATATTACATAAAAGCTGTAGTATATTGCATAAATCAGGTAAGGCTGATATATTTGATCTTAATTCAATTCAGTCTTAAGAAAATCTCCATAACGTGCACCGGAGGCATGTGAGAAAAACTGCTTTCTTCACAAATTCAAGGTAACACTCGGTGAGTCATTGATAAACACAGACTAAGGTTTCATTCAAGTAATAAGTCACATGAACCCATTCCCAGGGATGTAGAAAAACAGGAGCAGGGCCGGGGCGACAGAATGGGCCCAGCTGCCATCTGGTTGTCACGGTGACGGGCCCGCCTCGGCTGCAGCAGCAACATCTCCAGTCAAGAAGAGTGAGAAAGAGAGGAGGGGGATGCTGGGCGGCGGCCAGAGAGAGGACAGGGAGTTCAGGCAGCAGAGAGGTGTGGTTGGATGGAGGCCAACAGGTGGACATGTTGAGTCTGAGCCGGCGGGAGGATCATCGTCTCAGTGTGAGTGTGTGATACTGCATCATTATAAACACACCTACATGCACCTATTGGCACCCCGCCACAGAAATGAACTCAATAACCCCACTTGCTTATGCACTGCAGGGTGTGCACAGGAATAAGTGTGCATTCCCATGAGAAAAGAAGAGATAGGAAATAAATAGTTCCACTTTTCTCAAAATGTAATTTTGTTTTTTTATTACCAGACACTTTTAACTCTACACACCTAAAAACCCTTTATTTAAACCATTTTAAAAGTAAAAAAGGCTTGTTGAACTGCTCTGAACTCATGCCTACACTACATTTCACATTGTCTAAGAGAGGTGCTGGTTTGTGTATGACTGTTTGAAAGCAATTAGGGTGAGGCTTAACCTTGTCATGTTGTAAAAAAAAAAAGCAAGGTCCTCCCCAGGGTTATTAATGTTTTCTCTAAACACTCCTTTCACTTAGAAGAAACCTGCAAAAGCATCCCTTAAACACGTCTGAAAAGCATGCCGTTAAATTGAACTTATTGAACGTGCATTTCATAAGTCACAGTGACCCATGCAAAAACTAACATTTTATCGATTATATAAAGATAACAGTTTCTCAAAGTTTATTTAATTTAAAAATCAGATCCCTTACACGACTGCAAAGCCCAGTGAAAACATGCCTGGTCCATTGGAGTGATATCAATCTTCTTTATATGTCTTAGCCTCTTTGATAGTGCTTAGAGTGCACTTTGTATGGTGTTTACATCATTGATACCAGGCCTTAGCCAGCATGTACAGTCCGTACTGCTACATGTAGCCAACAATACAGGAAGTCTTCCCGTCTTTATGACTTCCTCCCCAGCGCAGACCACAGGAAACTCGCTGGATGTAGGATACGGAAATAGCTTTTGCTCCCAAAGCACATATGGGAATGTTAATGTAGGCGCTATTCCATGCTCCTAAATTGCTTCCTTCCCATCATTCATACCTATGCAAGTATATAGCAGAGAGAGGCGTAAGCTACAACACCGAACGTGTATGGAGGCATGTAGGGGGCGAGATTTTGTGTTTTTCTCCCACCATTTTCCCCTTAGTTGCCATAATAAACAACATAGCACATGGTGCTTTAGCTTAGGTAAACCTGTTGACAGAGCCAATAAAGCCCAGGATTAAAGTCAGTACACTGCAAACTGCCTGTGCTAATCCTCACAACTCCCCCCCCCCTGCAGTCCTTAGGCTACATATAGGGCATAGTTAATCACTGCAGACTCAATAAAGTAAGAATACCCACAAAGTCTTGGTCGAACCCGATGTGAGGTCATCTAAACCGTGAATGCCTCAGCCGATGCAACCATCTTTTAATGTATTTCCAGTTCCTCACCGCCCCCTTTTTTACATAGTATACTTAGCCAAACAAAAAGCCTTTCTCTGTCTCCCCCCTTCCTCCCCTTCCCTTTCTCCCCACCACCATCTGACGCTCACTCTCGCCTCATGAGAGAATGTTTGTCGTGATTATATATTTGTCTCTGTTACAGGCTGCATGCGAAATTAGCTCTGTCACTCCGTATAGCTGCTGAGCAAAAAAAGGGAGGTTTAAAGCGCACAAAAGTGCCACATGGAATGAGTGAGGAAGGGGAGAAGAGGAGGGTCGGGGTGGGGGACTGTAAGGCCTCTGTGCTTTTTTTCTTGAAAGCTCCCTTAAAAACCGCAGACACATGGTACAGAATTTCCCTCACAGTATGGAAGAAGGGGGGCAGCTTTGCAAGAGAACACCACACTGTCTGTGATAAACACACACACACACACACACACACACACACACACACACACACACACACACACACACACACACACACACACACACACAGGGGGAATAATATAGCCAACACACTAGAAGAAGGAAAGGGAGTGTGTGAACTAGACGCACAAACACTATACACAAAAGGCGGTGCAGAAAGAGGGGAACTTTGAAGGAGTCGACGTGCAGGCCAACGCCTCTACATGCCACACTGAAAAACTGAAATGTTGACTTCAGTTAAAAGTATGTAGTCAGCAGATTTCACATAACTGTATTAAGTAAGTTGAAAGCCATAACACAAATTTTAATTTAAAAATGGTGGATTGTCTTGACTAAATAAAGTCGACGGTTCAGTTTTTTCACATGGAAATCTCAACACATCATTTCACCTTAATACCTCTGGGCTCTATGGGAAAGTTGAAGGTCCCACTTTCTACGGGTATTGTATAGGGGGGTATTTTGGTGCTAGTGATGTAATGTAGGGGGGGGGGCGTTAATCCAATGTACAATGCGTTTAACTTTGACTGACATGTCCCTCGAACCCTCCCACCCTCTCCTCTCTCTGGGGCCCCTTTGAGCTCATAGGAGGGCGAGTGTGGAACTGGTGGTGGCTGACTGGGAAAAGGTGCAGGGGTCAGGTGGTGTGAATGGACGGGTTAGGGTCTCTGATGTGGGCTTAGCGTGGACCCAATGCCCTTGAAACAAAGCTCTTGATTGGGTGATTGGAAAAGGTGGGAAGTGGAATCATTCATTTCGATCTAGATTTGAAGATAGACGAAAAAAAACACATACTTATAATTCATTTAGCTTCAAAGTTATGTAGGGTGCCAGCATATTACCACAGCATGAGATCTACTACATACTTGAGGTCACAGTGGGAAAATAAAATGGATTAGGAACGCCATCTAGTGGAACATCTAGCACCTGGTCATGCTGTGAATGGAGATCAGGTCAATAAAGGTATAATCCATATTGATTAAGTTGCGAGTTACAAGTAAGTTAAGAATACAGCAACATCATGACATTCTTGTGATTGAATCTAACAAGCAAACCCCACTGTATTTTATAAATGGTTTCAATCAAACGGAAGAAACCATATAATGACTTGTTTTCCTCCTTTTGTGTACTTATTAATGGCTTGGCAAAGTCACTAAAAGTCCTTCTGACAAGGGGGAAATCAAGGTTTTCCATCTTGCAGAGTTAACCCAGAGACCAGCATGCTGAAAAGCTCCTTGTAAGCCAAAAAGAGGAGGTGGAAAATGTGTGTCAGCACACTGAATAGCCACTGCCTGCATGGGAATGAGGACACAAGGAACAAAGCCTCAAGTACTCTGCTTTTCCTCATCACCCTTGACATTGCATTATGAAAATATTTGCCAAATGAGGGTTATGCCCCCCAAAATCCATGTTTCACCTCAGTAGATGTTTCCTATCATAAGAGATGGATGATGTCATTTTAATAGAAACCACTAATGATTTACAGTATATAGTATTTTCGATTGTCAGCGTTTCTTGTAAGCATATGCTTTTCATGCCAGATGAGTGTTTTTTCCAAAATGAAGGGGAAACCGACCCTAAAAAAATCTCGAAGAAGAATTTGATAAGCCAATTACTTTACTTTCTTGATTCCAAGTAATGACACGACTTAGTTTTTCCAACAAACACTACAAAATTGAAAGATATTCAGTTTTCCTCAGTAAAGATTAAAAGAAAAATCTTTACTAAAATTCGCAAAAGAGAAACGAGAAATGCCAAAGTTATATTATTCAATTGAATCTTGATCAAACTATTAAACTAATTGTTTGAACTCTTGATATTTTCTGGCCTGAGACTCCCAAAAACTTTCCCTGAAACAAATTACAACCAAGATTTATTTATTGACATAATAATCTTATAATGACATTTGTTACCATACAATATTAGATTGTTTTCTTACATAGAAAACGTAAGAAACATCACTCATTCGATCATTTTAGTTATTCTGCTTAGGAGCAGCCATTGTTTGCCAAAGAACAAAATCACAAAAGAGTACTTTTCGAAATGTTATTGGGCTTGTTCAAGCAACCACATGACATTCCCAAGAGTTTCTGTCATTTCTCAGAACAGGACAGTTCTTGGACTTGGAGGAAATAAATCTTCTACTAGCAAATCCTCGCTAAGAATCTTTGTGGTGTTGGTGGAAAAAACATCAGACATATTAAACCCCACACTTCCACTTCCTTCATCATCCAGGAATAAATCAGAAGTTGTCATGCCACCGTCGACATCTTCGCCCAAGTGGTGTTCTTTAACATCTTCTACCTCATGGTCTTCAGAACCTCTGCTCGTGTTGTCTCTCCTGAACTCAGCATCCTCAGAGTTAAAGCTCCAATTACCCACCCCTTCTTTTTGCTCCGTTGTAGCATTTGGAAAATACTCCTTATCAGCTGGTATGAATGGTGTCTGGGTTGTAGCTTTGACACCACTGAACGAGGCACTTCCAAGAACATCGGCGTAGGTGACAGCCAACACCCTGGCGGGGGTCTTTGGCGGCCTGACAATGACCGCCTTCCCAGACTCATTGGTGAATCCATTGGGCTTATTTCCTTTCACACGTGTGCCTCTCACAGTGCTGCTGGTGGAACTGTGGAGTGGGCCCATTCCAACAACTTTGGTTGGCGTCCTTGGCTCAAATTTTGGGCTGGATTCAAATGTGGGTCTTCTGTCTGATCTGAGAAAAGATGAGGACGTTATGTGTTCTAGTGTTGTGCTATTAAGATTTGCATTTCTGTTTGGAACTGGCTGAAATCCTAATAATGTGTAGATTTTGCGTCTCTTTTGGTATGTGTCCGGTGAAGTGTCAGTGCTTCCTGCTTCCTTTAAAGTTGGTTTAAGGTCTTCACTGCTTACCTCATTTTGGCTCACTGTGGATACATGGCTCTGTTGCAAAATCTGTGGGCTTCTATGTTGAAGAGCTTTAAACCCCTGCTGGACTCTAGCAGACTTTTCTGGCTCACTAACTACAGTTTTGGCTCCCTCGAGTGGTCGAGTACTAAATCCTCTGAGACCATATATTCTTTTATAGTTTTTAAATGGTCTTCTATCACCAGTTTGATGCTGCATAGTAGACGTTTCCTTAAATCCTGTCGTAAACGGCCATATAGTAGATTTGGTTTGGACGATATCCAAAGTTCCAGGAAAGGGGTCATCTGTTAGGGTCTTCACAAGTTTGGATGCTTGTCTCCGGCTAAAGCTAAACCTTGGTGAGAAAGAAGGGTGTATATTAGCTTCCTTTCCTTGGTCCAAGCTGTAGCTTTGAGGGTTGGTTCTGTCATTAGAGACTTGGCCCTTCACACCTCTCCATGTTGGGTTTATAAATCCTCTGAAGTCATAGATGCTTTTTACGGTTGTTCCAGGTTTGTTAGCATGCTTTGATTCTCTTTTGGTCGTATCACGACTTACTGGGGATGTATCACTAACAGTTGTATTGTTACCCTGGAAATCTGCATGTGGAATAGGGTCAACACTTTGAATGGTGGCGTCTTTCCCAGGATGTTCAGAGATTTGAGTTATGTCTTTATATTTACTAAAATGATCCGTATTAGGACCATACTGGGCCACATTAGCATTATTTAGCAGTGGTTTGGCCTCATCAGATAGCCGTTCTACTTCCTGAGTTGAATATTTTCTTTGTTTAACAATTGAAGCAAACCTGCTGTAAACTTGTGAATCAGAGGCCTGCTGCTGATGTGGCGGCGGGAAAAAAGCGGCAGGTCCATCACTAGTGGCTGAATGAACTCTCTCATGTCCAGAGGTCAGGGAGTTCTTGAACAGATATGACTGGAACTTTTTGTTTCTTGGCAACTCACTGCTGCTCACCGAGTTCAACTTCTGGGAAAAATCTGTATGTGGTGAAGTCAGTTTTTCTGGGCTGGGGATGCTTTTAATAACATAGGCGTCTAAGCTGTTGCTGACTGATGGCGGATGAGGAGCGGGTTGACTCGAGAAGCCGAAAAATTTGCTCCGTGCCCCAGATGCGGGGGGCTCATTAACCTCTTTATAATTCCCTCTTGAAGTTGGCAGTGGAGCACTCCAATATCTAGCAGTCTGGGATGAAAAAGGAGAAGGGGAGGCATATCTGGGAACTTCTTCTTTGATGTAGGAATTCTGAGCATCCCAAACTTGTGACGGACTGGGGCTTAGATGAAAGGGACGGGAAGCTTCTTTTAGAGATGATTTTCTAATGATCACTGAGTTTGATCTGTATGAATTACCAGAGAGTGGTTGGTAACTGCTTGCTGGCCTATTTAAATCATGCACTGCTGGAGACTCTCTGTTATCTGGACTGTTTTGATTGTAACTAAAACGTACAGGGTTTGGCCGTTGGTAGATGATTGACGAAGCTACTCTAGAATTCCCGCTTGTCTCAGTTTCACCAGTAGTCCCAGTTTGGCGTCCAGTTTGAGTTGATGGCTGACCAGTGAAGATGGGATTGTGCTGACTGCGTGGAATATACAGTTTTCTCAGACGCTTGTGCTTCACTCCATCGTTCACCTGGGTTGTTATGGGGCTGACTGAAGGAGGGGGAAAAAATGTAATTATTCGAATGCTGTTACACAGGCAAATCAACCTGTCTTCGATTTTGTATGTTCATTTTATAACCTCTATTTAGTTTAATATAAATCTGAAATTACTCTGCCTCAAATACATTTTAACATGGTTGAGACAGGATGCAATAAATGTCAAACAAAATCATTATCTCTTTTATATTTTTGTCAAATTGCCAAGAAAAATCTGGCAATACAATTCTAGCTCCACCCAACCCAATCTGCCATCACATGCCTTACCCTCATTAAAATAAGCATTAGCTCACAGAAACTGCAGACACAGCAGGATTGGCCTGGCCGATCCTGGCCTGTTTGCACTCACCTCTTGCAGCTTCTGAACACATGATAAAGGACATGACAGCTGCACAGACCAGAGCAAAGGCAAACAAAGGCCTGCAGGAGAAGATAAAAAGAACAGGCCAAGGAGTTTTTATGGTATTCATGAGAAGTGTGAGGCTGTCACTCAATAATAATCAACCCTTTTACAAGTTGTATGCCTACATGTGCGTAAAAACGTGTACAATTGATATTTACCTTGAGGAGAGAGCAGCATTTCGTAACATGATGGAAGGATTTCTCAAGAGGTTTGAATGATAGCCAAACAAATAACTTGGAATAAGTTGTATTAGAGTTGGCAATCCATGTGTTTTACTTGTCAAACAAGTTGGAGATCCAGGCTCTGCTGCTGGTTGAGTCTGATTGGATGCAATGATGTGCACCTGGTCTTAAGTAACCTCCCCTCCCAGTTCCCAATTTTTTTATTTAAAATGCTTTCTTTAAATATTCAATCTCTTTTGAGTTCTGTGCATTTGTCTTTTAATACAATCATGTTTGCCTCCACTGTGAATTGTATTTTGTAAAGCCTGCTTTTACTTTGTAGAATGTGCTAGGCTAAATACAATGTTTTTTGTTTTTTTTAAAGTTGCACACTCAAGCCGTATTTTTTTTCCAAAGAAATGCACACATGACTCACCCAAACTCTTAGGAAAAATAGCTTCAAAGTCATTTGAAACCAGATTTATTTTGCCATATATATGTAACAATATTTAATTAAATACATTCGTCAAAAATAATAAATACCACATACATAAGTGCAAATAGGCCTTAAATAAAAAAGATTACATTGTTGGCTGTGTGGCCAGTAAGGTTTCATCATCATCATCATCATCATCATCATCAAGTCCATGTTGCGAATGAGAACCATTGAAAATAAATATAGTGTCACATTGTCCAGGGTCACTGAAATTGTGGACTCCTTAAAACATAAAGCCGGTCATCATGGCGATGTTCCTCAAGTCGTCATTGGTCATACAGTCTGTGAAAGAAAAACAAGACACATTAGAAAATATGTTTACAAAATCATTGATGACTTTATAAAATAATCTGAACCCTTAAGTGTGAATATTGAACTTTATCACAAAGCTAAATGTGGCACATTCATTTAACTTTATATTTTTAAAGGTCTAGTTTAAAAGCATACTGTAACTAGTGGTGGAATGTAACCAAGTAGCCTACCTTTACTTAGCCTACAATGCACAGTATGATTCTGTTTTCTTCAAGTTTGTATCTTCTTGGTCGAATGCACTTATTGTAAGTCGCTTTGGATAAAAGCGTCAGCTAAATGCAATGTAATGTAATGTATATCAATTTTAAGGAGTATTGTTAACTCCTTAGCGAAACTAACTTCTTAGCAAAATCGCTGTCAGTTTTTTTTATGTTAACCCACTCGTGATTTAACTCACCTAAATATCATTTTGTATGCTTACAAAATAATTGTATTTTAAAGGTTTTTCCTAATTGTTTTGTGTAAAAATCAGAATGTATAAAGTAACTATAGTATAAAGTAGACAAATGTACTTCCAAAATGTAGTAGAGTAGAAGTTTAAAGTTCAGTACTTGAGTAAATGTAGGCTACTTAATTACTTTCCACCACTGAGTATTTTTTTTTATATTTAGGGTACTTTTATCTCAAGTCTGAGAATCTAGGCTACTTTCTAACCCAATTGAAGTAGTAGAAGTAGCCTATAAAGAAAATGGAAATACTCAAGTAAAGTAGTATACCTCAAAATTGTACATAAGTACTTGAGTAAATATACTTAAAAGTTACATTCCACCACTGTTGCCTAATGATTTGTCTCGCTGACTTTTATTTACTTCGGCAGGCCAGGCTACCACTTGAAACTTCTGAACCACAGTTTACTTACTTTCTCCGCCCCTCTGCCGAGAGCTCTTCCCATTAAACAACCGCCAAACTTTCCTGAAGGACCGCCGGAGCCCCCTGCCTCTGGAGCCCGGGGAGGCGTTGCCTTCCTCGGCTGGAGTCTCAGGGAACTCCTCGGTGTCGTCACAAGCGTCTAGCCCGGGACAGACCTCTTCCTCCGGGTTATCGTCCTCCTCGTCTTCCTGGTCGAGGACTCCCGAGGATATGAGCCGCTCCAGGACGCACTCGTCAACCCTCAACTCGGCTCTCAGCGTCCCGGAGATGGAGGTGGTTTGTCGGCACAGCGGACAGACGATGGGTCCCTGGGGTCGTGAGAGGGCCAGGAGGCAGGACTCGCAGAAGCTGTGTCTGCAGTGGAGCTCCCGGGGACACCGACTACCTGTGTTGTAGGTCCGGTAACAAATCCCGCACTCCTGCTCGGTACACATGTTGCTTTCTGATCTGGTGATTCAGATTGGAATTAGACAAGAGGTGAGCTATCCAGACTTTATACCTCAGGGTGTGGGGGAGTGCGTGGGAGGAGACTACGAACTAAGGTTTATGGCCAAATAAAACGTATGAGTCATAAAGCTCCAAGTGATGTAATGAAACCAAAACAACATAACACACCATTGTGTATGAGTCATAAAGCATGTAGTCCTATGTTGTTGTTTTTTAAATAATATTTCCACTAGAACATGTTGAAACACACTACTCGAAATAAAAATAAACAAGTGATTCACAAACCAAACCCATTTCCCAGGTAATAATGAGAGTAACACATAGCGTTGTGATTTAAAAGAGCACTCGAAACCAACGCAGGACTCAATAAAACAGGATTAAAATAATACAAAATAATTAAACAAAATATTAAATCTACAATTAAATAAATAAACAATATATTAAATATTTCCTGTATCAGAAACAGTAGGAATATAATGCTTACGAAGTCCAATGGTCTTAAAAATAATCTTGATTTTAACACAAATGTTACAACTTTCAAAGTGTTTAACATATCAAATAAGACAAAAGAAAGCTCCTGTTCATTCAAAAATAAAATAGACAAAACATAAACCATGTCCTGTTTCCAGTCTTACTCTGTCACTTCCCCGGTCTGATCATCACATCCTTACTACAGTTGATCTATAAATAACCTCTTTGACAGTATGACAAAATATTTCTTGAATATACAACTTTTGGGTTTTTTCACATGCACAGTTAAACAATGAATGACCCTGAGCCAGGAGACATCAAGCGGACCTAAGACGTAACCAAATACGTTAAAGATTAATCACTGTTTGTTGGATTTGGAATCATTCATTGGGAGGCCCTATTTATGGTCATAGCGCTTTTTTTTAAAAATCCAGTAAAAATATGGGAAGGATATCCCTTCTTAATACTCCCCCTCCTTTATCAAACTTGAATTCAAGTCCTAACCCTCCTTGCACTCCCCACTGATACCGAAGGGTGTGTCTGTGTGTCTGTGTGTGTGACGTCAGCCAGACGTCACTATGGTAATCCCCAAACAACCCTCATCATCCTATCAGTTGTTTCAGCATGAACTCCTTTCAAGGTCATTTCCGCTGAAAACTTGGCAGACAATCATAAGTTCTCTGTGTGTGTGTGTGTGTGTGTGTGTGTGTGTGTGTGTGTGTGTGTGTGTGTGTGTGTGTGTGTGTGTTTTAAAGCCTATCCTTTGTGATTTTCTTAAACCTTCCCGCTTTTTGCCTCCAGCATCGAATTTACAGTAAAAGGGGCTTCTTCTTTTTTGAAACCTAAATGACTGTAAAAAAAGAGAAGACTGTGAATTATATGACAAATGTCTAACCTGTCCTACAACATTAAATCCCACAGTACTGTTTTTTTGTGATATCAACAACATAAGAGAGAGCTTTTAGATTTCTGTATTTACTGTGTGTGTCTTGTAGAGTGAGACACTTAGTTGGAAGATTGGAGCAATGTGGGAAAAACAAATCTAGACTTTGATATTGATCATAAAGACTTTATTGACTGCAGTAATTGTTGCAATTTTTCCTAGTGGTGCTTTTTTATGATTCTATGTGTGAGTTTACAAATCTGACTGTTGAGTCTTATATTGTCTGGTAGAGGATATGAAAACAAGTTAACCTATTCTTTAAATATGCCTGTTTTTAAGTGAAGTGACAGTGATTTTATTAGCTAATCCAATAGTTTTAAATGATTAAGGAATACGATAAATGTTTCAAACCAAAGGAAAGCCCAATCTTTAAAAAAATCTGATTATAGACTATGTTTTGATCTGAGTCAGATTGGTAATAGCAGAGTTGGCATAAAGGCACATTCTGTACAGGACAACTAAATCAATGAGGGTGAAACAGAAACATTACTATGGGTGATGACTACTTTATCAATCCGTAAATTAATCTGTTTACTGAATGTTCTGAACATTAACTGTCACTTATTGACATTTACACATTTTTAGTATAGACATGATCCACTAGAATGTGAGATGACTTTAAGTAAAGTAGGAAAACTGTACATTGTTAATAATTACACCCTTAGCCACGCACTACTATTTTAAAACTGCTTCATGCTGACTGTGTGGAATCATAATAACATCATATGGAAGTAGACTGGGAATCTGTCATTTTCTATCTCGTGTGTCTTAGTTACCCTCACATCACCAAGGGTTTAATTACTGCTGAGCAAACCGCAGAGACGCCTCATGAGAGAGGAGGACGAGTACAATCAGGTGAGACGGAGGGAAAACAGAAGGCTGCCAGTAAGCCGAGCTTCATCCACATAGGATATCAAGATTGAAACTTGTTAATGTGCACAGAATACAGGGAGGAAGACACTGCCAGGATGAGATCTGTACCAACATGAGGAGAATTGTACAAGGGGAAGTACTGGGCATCAAAGTGTCCTCTGATCAAAGGGCTGTGCGGTGGGTAAGTCACTCTGTTATCTGCTTCTTAGGTGTGAGGATGAATCGCTGCCAGTGGCTCTCAATATCATCTCTATGAACATGCTGGCCTAGCTATAAGGGGGCTTATTTATTTAACACTTTCCCGTCACAACTTGTTTGTCATATAAATGCTTCTTGTTGCTGTTTATTGTATTTTAACATCTATTCTGTTTCTGGTTCTAATGTGTTTTGAAATGCGTTGCCGTGGACCAATTCACAGGAGACCACATCTGCTAAGCAACAATCCGTGCGTAGTAGTTGTCCCATGTGAGCAATAAACGAAAAAGGGTGTCAGCAAAGGAAGTTCGTAAGAAGCCATCAGCAAGTTGGCTCAGAATAAATACTAAAAACAAGTGGGGAAAAATGACATGTCTACTTATTGAAATAAACTTAACTTTTGGTAGTGAAGCAGAGCCAAGCTAGC